GCACTTTCAGAGTCACAATATAGTGGGATCTTCTTCATATTGAGTCCGTAGTCTCGAAGTTGACTTTGGATCCAAATCACTTGTGACGTGCATGATGCAGCTGCAATGTATTCCGCTTCGGCAGTAGATAGCGACACGCACGTTTGTTTCTTGGATTGCCAGCTGACTAACTTCCCGTCAAGAAATTGACAGCCACCAGTTGTGCTTTTACGGTCGAGTCCACATCCTCCAAGGTCAGCATCAGAATAGGCTTGACAAAGAAGCCTGAGTTGGATGGATACCATAGACCTAAGGAGGTGGTTCGCTTGAGGTAGCGTAGGATGTTCTTCACTGCAAGCATGTGAGGTTCGCGTGGGTTTGCCTGAAATCGAGCACAGTAACAAACAGAAAACATGATATCAGGTCTGCTAGCGGTTAGATACATTAATGAGCCAATCATTTGACGATAGAGCGTGATATCAACAGCCGGTTTGTCTAGGGATGGGGTAAGCTTGGTGCCGAATGCCATTGGGACTTTGACTTTTGAGTCTCCCATCATTCCAAACTTTGCTAGGAGAGTCTTCGTGTAGGCTTCCTGATTAATAAAGATGCCTTCGGGTCCCTGTCTTATGTTTAAACCAAGGAAAAATTAATAGGACCCATTGAGCTCATTTCAAACTTAGTCTCCATCAGCTTTCTGAATTCAGCTGTTAAGCTAGGATTCGTGGAACCAAAGATGATGTCATCGACATAAATTTGAACTATCATAAGGTGGTTACCTTCCTTTTTGCGAAAGAAGGTTGGGTCAACCGAACCTTGTTTGAATTTAGACATCTTTAAAAATTTTGTAAGCGTTTCATACCAGGCTCTCGGAGCTTGCTTAAGGCCGTACACAGCTTTATCCAGAATATAGCAATGATTTGGATGCCTTTCGTTCACGAACCCAGGAGGTTGCTCCACGTACACCGTTTCTTCGAGTTCTCCATTGAGAAATGCACACTTGACGTCCATTTGGAAAACCTCAAAGTTCTTGTGAGCAGCATAAGCCAGAAATATTCTAACAGATTCTAGCCGAGCTACTGGAGCGAAAGTCTCTTCATAGTCTATCCCTTCCTCCTGACAGTATCCCTTTACCACCAGACGAGCCTTGTTCCGTATAACATTACCTTCCTTGTCCATTTTGTTCCTAAATACCCATTTGAGACCAACAACCGAAGCATCTGGAGGAGTTGGAATGAGGCGCCAGACTTTGTTCCTTTCAAATTCGTTCAGCTCGTCTTGCATTGCTTGAACCCAATCAGAGTGATCGAGGGCAGTATTAACTGTCTTTGGTTCAACTTTTGATACGAATGAGTTGAACATGCAAAACTCAACCTTTGAAAATAAGGAAGTCTGTTTTGCTTTCAGTTGTGATCGGGTCAAGACCTTTTCAGAGACATCTCCAACTATTTGAGAACAGGATGATCTCTGGTCCATTTGATAAGAGGAGGGTAATTCGGATCAAAGGTTGGGTCTAGTTCAGCATTAATTATTTCTTCTGGCTCAGATTGGCTATCGTAACCGAGCGTCATATCATTATGTTCCCCCTCAATTGATGAGCTTTGAAAAACATGAGGTTCAGGTGTTTCTTGTGGTACTGAGCTTCCTGGTGTTGAGGCCTCTTCGGTTGATGAAGGACCTTCGGTTGAAGATGTAGAATTTGGCTCCCCCTGGACTTGTGAGCTTGTCCCCCTCGACTTGTGAGCTTGGCTCCCCCTCGACTTGAGCATTGTTGGATGGAGAGTCGTCAGAGGTTGATTCTCCTTCATGCATTCTTCTTGCAGCATCTTCGACAATCTGCTTCATGTGATCAACTTTGTTGTCTGCTGCACCTGCTTCGGAGAGTGAAGCTTTCTCTGGTTCGTCAAAGAGCTCCAGAAATTTCTCGTATAAATTGGCGACCGAGACTGTGATTTGGCCAGTTAGAGGAAAGATTTCCCCTGCGGTGTCTTCTTTGGCCTGTAGCTTCTTGACATAGGTGTCGTCAAAGGTCACATAGTATGTCTCTTCAATCTTTCTCGAACGCTTGTTTAGGACCCTGTATGCCTTGGATGTGAGCGAGTAACCCAGAAATATTCCCTCGTCGGCTTTGACATCAAACTTGTTGCGTTGTTCTTTAGAATTAAAGATGAAACACCTTGAGCCGAACACATGGAAAAATTTCACATTTGGCTTTCTGTTGTTCAGTATCTCATATGGAGTTAGCGTGAACCTCTTGTTGAGATATGACCTGTTCTGTGTAAAACAAGCAGCTGAAATAGCGTCAGCCCAAAAATAAAGAGGTAAGGAAGCGAAACTTAGCATGGTTCGGGCAGCTTCACACAAAGATCGGTTTCGTCTTTCGACTATTCCGTTCTGTTGCGGTGTGTAGGGAGCTGAGAAATTGTGACTATTCCCTTTTCTGCAAGAAACTCTTCAAACTCCCTGTTCTTGAATTCGAGACCATTGTCGCTTCTGATGTTGCGAACAACCTTCTTAAGCTGTACTTCAATTTGCTTGATAAACACTTTCAGCTTTTGAGTCGCTTCAGATTTGAGCTTTAGAAAGAACACCCATGTAAATCGTGAAAAGTCATCAACAATAACAAGAATATACTTGCTACCACCGATGCTTTCGATAGATGAAGGACCACACAAATCGATATGAAGTAATTCGAGTGGTTCAACAACTTTTGTGTTGATTATAGATGGATGACTTTGACGACTCTGCTTCCCCATTTCGCATGCAGCGCACAGATGATCCCTGTCGAACTTGAGCAATGGAAGGCCCCTAACATGACCTCCAGTAACAAGACGGTTGATATCTTTAAAATTAAGATGAGATAATCTTCGGTGCCACAACCAACTTTCGTCGGATTGAGCTTTTGACAACAAGCATATAGCTGGGTTTCCTTTGATGGGTTTAAGGTTTAAGGGAAACATTTCACCCTTTCGCTCTGACTTGAGAATCACTTTCTTTGACTTTTTCTCTATGATTTCAGAACCTTCATCATCGAACGAGACTTTGAGACCTGTACCTCCAACAAGCTGAGATACACTAATGAGGTTGTGTTGGAGTCCTTCCACATAAGCCACCTTCCTTATAGTAAAGTCTCCATTTGTTATCATCCCGTATCCCTTTATGGTGCCAAAAGAATTGTTTCCAAACTTGACGTTGCCACCATTTGCAAGAGATCTGTATTCCCTAAGCTCCTCTTTCCTCCCTGTCATGTGACGTGAGCAGCCACTATCGATGTACCATTCTTCGTCGAACTGCTCGTCACTTATAACCTGCAAAAATTAGACAGATTTAGGAACCCAAAATTTCTTGGGTCCACGTGAGCTTTGCATGGGAACGGGAACAATAAGAGAGACATCAACAAGATAAGTTCGTTTTATAAGAGTTGTTGCATCTTTCCTTTTAATGGTAAAAACTTTTATTTTGTTAGGATTGGTGAATTAGGTTTGGATTCTGGTTGGGATTCATTGACCTTTTTCTTCCACTTTTGCTCAGTTGACGAATGAGATTTTTGAAAACAAGAGAAATCAGCTTTAGAGTAAGATGGAGACGAATCGGTGGGAGTAGAAGAATTATGAGACCGAGAAGAGGAATTAGAAGAACGAGAAGAATTTGAACAAGAGGGTTTGGATTGAGAGAAGTTCCGGCTTGAGACTCTAGGTGACCCTTTTGCTTTTGATCATTGGAGGAATGACCTTAGAGTTTTGTTCTCTTTTGACTTCAGAACCGAACCTTTGCGTTTGGTTGGAACTGTCTTTGGAACCGAACCTTTGGTTTCGGTTGAAGTCCTTTTCAGAACCGAACTTTTTGCCTTCGGTTGATATCTT